ACTGCACTTGCACAGTGCAGAAACCTGGTCTCCAGTTCTCTCTTTTTCCAATTATAAACGTCCCTCATCCTTTCGGGGGTCTTAATTGTGCTAACGTATCAGCTGTAGACTTGAATCCAGAGTCTGCCACATTCCACTCTGGAATATACAAGGTCTCCAGAGCATCAGGATGCTTTTCTCTTCTCTTAAACATTTCCCCAATCCCATCTTTGTCACCAAAAATATCTTGGACCACAGACTGTATCCAAGCTGTTCTTTTAGATTCAGTTAAATGTAATTAAGAAAAGACTCGATAACAGTAGTTTGCTTAAATATGAACAGTTATTAAGTAATAACAAAAAAAGGAAAAGAAAGGAAATAAAACTGAAATATGAACATCTATTAAGTAATAAGAAAAGATGAAAAAAGGGAGGAAAAGAAAGCAATGAACCTCATACCCTCCTGCCCATTGGGGACCCTTCAATCGATGGCTGGTCTGGATGGTTAGAGACAGTAAGAACTGCAAATGCTGGAGTCAGAGATAACACAGTGTGGAGCTGGAGGAACACTCCAGGGGAGGCAATGGCCTAGTGGCGTTATCGCTGTACTATTAATCCAGATTAATGTTCTGGGGACCTGGGTTCCGAATCCTGCCACAGCAGACAGTGGAATTTGAATTCAATAAAATATCTGGAATTAACAATTTAACGATGACCGTGAATCCACTGTTGATTGTCGGAAAAACCCATCTGGTTCACTAATGCCCTTTAGGGAAGGAAACTGCCACCCTTACCTCATCTGGCCTACTATATGTGACTCTTAACTGCCCACTGGGCAATTAGGGATGGACAATAAATGCTGCCGCACCAGCAACACCTTCATCCCATGAATGAATAAAGGCAAAAAAAATGAACACAGTAGGCCAAGCAGCATCAGAGGGACAGAAAAGTTGACGTTTGGCTCAGAATCCTTCTTCAGAAATGGCTTAGGTTTGTTCCTAGCACTGCTCGTGATCCCGGTCTGAGGTGAAGTCCAAAGACTTGGAACAAAACTCTTTCTCTTATGAAGTATAACAAACAGCCAGCACAGAAAAACAACTTTGATTATGCCATCTTTGGCATGTACAGGAATGTTCACAGGACTCATTCAAGATCATGCAGCTGTCGAATATCTTCAACAATTTTAGCCCTTCAGCCCATCCCATGCAATTGGAACAAGTAATCCTTGATTAATGCAGTAGTTAAGTTCTTGACAATCGCCATGTTATGTAAAACTTTGTTATTTGAAACACATATTCCAATGAAACTTGTGAATGTTTGGGTTACTTTTCCAGACATTAATCAAGTACAGAATACCAGTGTAAAGTTAATATAAAACACCAAAATAGTTATAACAATATGCAGAAAAAAGGTTCTTGTCAAGGTTGTTTATCTGGAGGTGGAAGGCTGTGGGCAGTTTTTAGAAGTCTTAAAAGCCTTTATTAAGGCAGAGACAACAGCCAAACAAACTCAACAATTGGGAACCTGTTCAGATTTCTGGGTTATGGCACAAATGTATTACTCAATGCTGCTGGGAGTTGGGCAAGAACTACATTATTGCAAATCAGGTGCTTGTTATTGGATCATGAGTTAGTAAAGTAAAAACCATGTTATTGGCAAAACTGCATTAGTTGGGGAGCACCTGTACCACCTACAAGATGCACCAAAACTCCCCAAACCTCCTATGGCTGCACTTTCCAAACATGTGATCTCTACCATATCGAAGGATAAAAGCGGCATATATATGGGAACACCACCACCTGCAAGATCCACTCCAAGTCACTCATCATCCTGACTTGGAAATATATCACTGCTCCTTTAGTATTACTGAGTTCAAATCCCAGAGTTCCCTCCCTAACAGCATTGTGCATGCCCCTATGACCCAAGTACTACAGTGATTCAAGAAGTCATCCTACCACCACCTTCTCCAGGATAGTTAGTGATGGGCAATAAATGATGGCCCAGGCACTAACAGACGCTTCCTGTGAATTAACAAGAGAGTTGAAGATTGTGGTGATGGGGTGGGTGTAGGCAAGAAAGTGGTCAGCTCTGATGGGAGAGGTGATGGCATATAACTACAGACAATTGCTCTAAGCATATGGGTTTGAAACCCACCATGAGAGATGGTGAAACTTTGAAGTCAATAAAGAGCCTGCCTAATGGTGACAACTATAACCATTGTCATAACAACCCATCTAGTTCACTAATGACTTTCGGGCAGGCAAGTCTGCTGTCTTTGCCTTATCTGGTCTGCATGTGGTCAGTAGTGTGGGAGACTATCCCCACTGCTTTCTGGGTAATTGGCATTGGGCGATAGGTGCTGGTCTGGCCAGTGATGCCTACATACTACAAATGAATCCAAAAGAATTGCTCTGATCTTAATGAATAGTAAACAGACTTGAGGGGACAAACAGCTTCCTACTTACATTCCTTAATGATCTTATATCTAGGCCAGGTTGTAAATGGTATAGTAATGGTGCCCAGGGCTATTGTCAGCTAAAGTTCCTTGTATAAAATTCTGGTGGCAAACACTTTGTCCTTTTTTGTTTCCCTTTCCCATTCCACCCAACATCTGACCATGCTTCGTCAAAAACAAAATCAGAAATTGATGGAAAAATTCAGCAGGTCTGATTGCATCCGTGGTTCTGAAGAATAGTCACTAAACTCAAAATGCTAACTATGCTTTTTCTCCACAGATGCTGCCAGGCCTGCTGAGTTTTCCCAGCAATTTCTGATTTTGTTTCTGATTTCCAGCATCGTAACACAGGGTGGAATTTCCCCTGCATGGTGTGAGAGTAATAGGGGTAGGGAGGGAAGGTAGAAAAATACATGAAGAATTAAACACTGGATTCTCAGTGTCAACAAAAATGTTTACCCTTCCAGCTTTTCCCTTCAAGCTTTACATGGCAACGTCAGTCTCATCGTTGCATTTCATTAAAATCCCAACTCTCGTTCTCTGAGTAAGTAGACCTTTTTTTTCTCATATTGCCTTTAGTTACTTTGCTAATCATGTTGAATCTGTAATCTGCTGGTTACTGAGTCTTCCTTCAATGGGAGCAGTTCTTTCTTATTTATTCCAAGTAATCGCCTTATGATTTTCAGCACCTTAAATTAGCAGCATAACCAATTAATGAAGCTGAGGACTGAAGCATGTGCCTGTTCAAACTCATACCGTGCACCTAGTAAGTCTAACTGGTACATGGGCTAGTTTTGGAAGCTGTGAAATTCCGTTGTTGAGATTCGGTAATGGACAACACTATCAAGATGCACTTAGCAACAAATACCTGCTCAGTTTGGGTTCTGCCAGGGAGTCTGAGCTCCAGACCTAACTTTTAAAAGTACTAAAGTAAAGAGGTGATGTTGAACTTGTATAAGACACTAGTTAGACCAATTGTGTACAGTTCTGGGTGCCACATTATAAAAACTGTATTGTGTATAATGTATAGCGGAGAATATAGAAGCAATTTATAAGAATGGTTCCAGGGATGAGGAACTTCAGCTATGATTGAAGAAGTTGGAGAATGGGGGCTGAGAGGAGATTTGAGAAGTTTTCAAAATCATGAGCAGGCTGGATAGAACAGATAGGGAGAAGTTACTTCCTCTCATAAAGTAAAGTACGAGAGGGTATAGATTTAAAATGATACGCAAACAAAGCAAGTGTGATGTGAGGAAAAAAACTTTTTCAAAACCCGTGAGTGGTTAGGGTATGGAATGAACTGCCTGGAAGTGTGGTGGAGGCAAGTTCAACCAAGAATTCAACGGAGCATTGGGTAGTTATTTAGATAAAAATGACGTGCAGGAATATGAGGAAAAGATGGGTTATAGAATTGGTGCAGATATGATTAATAGAACCTCCAGTGTGTGGTAGCAGGCCATTCAGCCCATCAAGTCCTCTCTGAAGAGCATCCAACTCAGACCCAGCCCTGTAATGCTGCATTTCCTGTGGATAATCCACCTAACCTACATAACCCTGGACACTACGGGCAATTTAGCATGGCCAATCCACCTAGCCTGCACATCTTTGGACCATGGAAGGAAACCAGAGCAAACCCAAGCAGACACAGGGAGAATGTGCAAACTCCACACAGACAGTAAACCAAGGCTGGAATTAAACCCAGGTCCCCGGTGCTGTGAGGCAGCAGTACTAACCACTGAGCAACCGTGCTGTCCATGGTGAAGATGAAACTCTTGATGGGCCTAATGGCCTCTTTTCTGAGCTGTAACAATTGAGATTCTGTGATTTAATCTTCACCAAAAGCAGCTTCAGAGGTGAAGGTGACTGCCCTTGGTAGCAAAGCAGCATTTGACAAAGTGTGCCATCAGGGAACCCTAGTAAAATCAAGTTTGAAGGGAATCAGTGAAGATGAAACTCTTGACCAGTGTTTCATCTAAGATGTATAACCACACAGCTCACGGAGAGGCCGTGCACACTGATTTATGTGCAGGCAAGTTCTGATTTCTGATCCTGGAACCTGTGCACAAACCTGAGGTTTGCACAGCAACAGCAAGAATCTTCACTGGTTGAAGTCATTCTTTGCAAAAAGGAATCATGGTTGTTGGAGGTCAATCATCTTAGGTCTGGCAAATGTTGCAGCAGTTCCTTAGTGGTGTCTTGGGCCTAAGTATTCAAAATTATGAGGGATCTGGATGGAATAGATAATGAGAAACTGTTCCTGCTTATGAAAAGATCAAGAAGCGAGCACAGGTTTAAAATAATTGGCAAAAGAAACAGAAATTAAGGAATGGGGATAACAACCGTGTGCAAACGGATGCACTAGTTTAGAATGGCATCATGGCTGATGCAGACATGGTGGGTCGAAGTGCCTTTTCCTGCACTATACTGTTCTATGTTCCATGAAATGATAGTCTACTTTAAAGGAAATAATGATTGAGCACCATCTGCTGTTCACCTTGACATTGCAACAAGATAGCAGTGCCCTCCAGTGGAAACTAGCCAAAATGAACAAAATCCTCAAACATAATTTCACTGATTCATATTTACTCTGGCACACTTTGTCAGCAGAAAAATACAACTAACTTCATTCAGAATTGAATTATTCACAAAGACTAGATACAGATTGCAGTGGTTGAAGATTTAATCACAAGTCTGTCAGTGAATAACTCATTGAAGCAAATGGGGCAGACCATTCAGCCAACATGCATGTGGGAGCTGAGTTATCCAATTAACCCCCTTGCAAAGCTTTCAGTAGATGTCAGTAGGAGTGGGTTTTGATTTCTATTGTTGTTGCTGATTTTGGTCTTCACTTTCCATGGAGTGAATTCATTGCTCACCTTAATAATGCTCTCTGCAAACACCAACCACACAGGTTTTCTGGAAAGGGATCATTCCCCAAGCCTAATGTCATTTTTTTTTACATTGAACTGGTGCTACATCTAAGAATATCATCCACTTTGGCAGCAAGAAAAGCAGCATATAATTTAAATGGAGACAGACTGCAGGACTCTGAGCTACAGATGGATCTGCATGCCCTGATATATGAATCATAAAACATTACTTGGTAGGTACGGCAAATGAATACAAAGGCAAATTAAATGCTGTCATTTATTGAAAGGGAATGAAATATAAAAGTTGGGTTGTTTTGCTATCATTGTATGATGCATTGTATTATGTACAGTTTTGGTCTAATTTTTAAGAAAGGAAATCACTGCATTAGAAACAATTCAGAGAAAGTTCACTCAACTGATACCTGGGATTGGGCAATTAGTTTTCTTATAAAGGAAAGGTTGGGTAGGGTGGACCTGTATTGACTGGCGTTTAGAAGAAAAAGAAGAGATCTTATAGAAACAGAAAAGTCTGAGGCATCTGGACAGAGTGGGTGCTGAAAAGGTATTTCCCCATGAGGGAGACACTAGAACTAGTGGATACAATTTAAAAATAAATTTTAACTCTGTTCCCCAGACAGCTGTAAGACAGAGATACAGTCTTGCCTAATAAGGGGGTCAAAAAGTTGGCAGGAAATTAGAGAGTGAGGTCACAGACAGGCTGTGATCTTATTGATTGGCAGAGCAGGTTCAAAGGGCCGAGTGGCCTACTCCTGCTTCTAACGTGTATGTTTGTACATGGTGAGCTGTGGATAGGTCAGAGATTACACTGGACTGTACATTAGGAAAGGATGTAGGCGATTTACTTGGATGTGGAGTCTTCAATTACATGGAAAGACTGAGGAAGCTGCGATTTTTCTCCTCAAAGCAGAAAAGTTGAGCAGATGTTTGCTAAAGGCTGAAAATTATGAAGCATTTCAATAGGTTAAATGAGGAGAAACAGTTTCCACTGGGTAAAAGAAGAGGAGTATTTTTGTGAACTGAAATACAGATACATGGCCTGAAAGGGAGATGGAAACTGATTCAATATTAACATTTAAAAGAGAATTAGATAAATACTTGTAAACAAGCCGACAATCTTATCTACCTACCCAGCTTAACGTCTCCTATTGGAGCTGCTTCTGGTATATGGGGCAGCATCAGAATCGACCTGTTGAGTAACCAATGACAGGAGTTTAGGGGGTGGGGGGAGAAATGTGGAACTTCTAGTGATCCTAAACATACCTCTTTCCTCTAACTCACAGGGAGAATAAATGCTGGCTGAGCCAGCAATGCCCACATCCCATGAATAAGTCAATAAAAATATCCACTAGGAAGACAAACTTCAGGCTGAAACAATAACGATGTAATTCGGCTATGCCAGGCGATCAACAATAACAGCCTCAAAAGTTCTCATGGTATTTGTTCAGTTTTATTTTGTTTTCCATTCTTTTCCCTACATTTCCTGAAGGTGTCAGCTCAAGGTGAGTGTGATCCCTCTGCTCGAACAGTGAAGACCAGCATGTGGCAATAGCATGCTGATCCTGACAGTCACCCATTTTCAAGCAGGAGTCACTGGAGAGTGGTCCATAGTTGCACCCCCTCACTGCCACCTCAAGATCAGTCTAGATAAGAATCAAACCCACAACCTGTTTTCACACAGCATGGGGTTGCGGCAGATACTGCATTTATTCACTTCAGTTTAACTGTTTTCTTTGTTAATTCCCATTTTAGGTGTCTTTCTTTATAATTGGTGCAAGGGATGTTTGGTGTCAGGAAATGAAAGAGTTTTTCATTTTTTTGCATCCCATATCAGGGTAGGCATGAAATATTGCCGGGTTGGATACGTGGCAGGTTATATGCAGAGTCAAGCTCCTGGTGCACTGGCTAAGTACAGAATTAAGCTCCTGGTAGTATTCCCTGATGCGCCCGAGTGATATGTTTCAGGCAATTGCCATGCTTGTGACCTCTCAAAATAAATGTATCAGTTCAGTATGAGCGAGGGCTTCAGTAGGAGTAGTTTTATGCTGTAGACCCCCTTCTGAAGTGGGCTGGCTGGAGGCTGCAGCAATCGTAAGAACCTGCAGGCAGAGGATTCTTTCATCCTCTTAGTCTGGCTTGAATTTGTAATCAAAGTCCCACAGACAGAAGAACCAGTATGTAACTCACTGACCCATCAGCAGCATTTATATGGATGATGTAGAGAGATGTTATGCTTCACACGGTTTAGTCCGAAAGTCACTAAAAAGCATCTAAACTGTGTTCCACTATGACTGAAACTAGCAACAGTACGGTAGGTAACAGTTATAAAAGCACAGGCCCAACTAAACTGCCTGGGATCTGTAACCTGAATTGATGTACAAAGTACAGATATCCTCACTGCTGGAGGTTGGTATCCAAGTGATTTGCTGAAATACATTAACAGGACAGGAGCTTGAAGCATGTCTTAAACCAGGAGATGATTACAGAAGATTAGCAAAGGAATTCATACTTTGAGCATCAAAGCATCTCACATGTAAGAAAGTAAAACTGGACTTCAGGTACGCAAGCACAGCACAGTTTGAATGTCAAGGCTTCTTACTGACACAAAACGAAGTCCAAAAAGGTCAGGGCTTGTGATCCCAAGCTGTCTATCATCATGGGACTTTCCCTGACCCACCATGGCCTGTGACAGTCAACGACTAAATTTCTTTCAACTCAGATGCTGAGAACCTTCCTGGGATTAAGAGGACAGCACAGCAGATTACAACCATAGAGAGGAGAGACAAGGTGTAGTGTGACCAGTTTGATTTACATCCCTGTCATCAATTGTAGATCAATGGTGACTATATGTACTTCCCTTTTTAAACTTAATTTGCTGCAATTTGTTTCCGTCAATAAGTTGACACTATCAGTTTTGCCTTGTGGACTACATGGAGAGTCTGCAAGTTGTCCCCTCACTGTCCTCCAAATAATCAGTGATTTAATTCATACAGCGCTGTAGCTGGGCTATGCCTGCGAGGTTCAGTCCACTGGCTGTCAACAGACTTTTGGCTCTCAGATCCTCTAGTTCGTCTTTGACTGCCTGCCACTTCTTCATCATCCTTCTCATCTCCTCCTGTTTCACTTTCAGCCGTTTCCTTAGCTTCTCATTTTTCTCCAGGGCAGAAAACAACCTCTTCTTCATCATGCCCAGGTTGGTGGCAGCGTAGGTATGGTCAGCACTACCCTCAGAAGCAGCAACTTTATTTGGTACTGCCTGCGGGAGGTTCTCCTGCCCTCCGCTTGTTGTGGCCACGGGCACCTAACGGAACAGAAAAATGAGAATGAGTTCACAGAATAAATGCAATAATTGAATCAGACACATATGACATATCAGGGAAGCAATGGCCTAGTGGTATTGTTACTGGACTGTCAATCTGGAGACCTGGGTTTGAATCCTGCCATGGCAGATGGTGGAATTTGAATTCAATAAATATCTGGAATTAAGAGTCTAATGATGACCATGAATCTGTTGCAGAAAAACCCCTCTGGTTCACTAATGTCCTTTAGGGAAGAAAACTGCCATTCTTATCTGGTCTGGCCTACATGTGACTCCACACCCTCAGCAACATGGTTGACTCATAACTGAGTCAGGCAATAAAGCTGGCCTAGCCAGCGACACCCTCAAGGAAAAAAAAAGTTTCCCCACAATCTTTATGACCCTCTTTATGATTCAGGTGGTATCAACATTGTATCCAGAAGTCTTTGTTCTCACAGAACCACAGAAAATAGGAGCAGGAGTAGTCAGTCAGCCTTTGAAATTGTACTTCCATTCAATATGATCATGGCTGATCATCCAATTCAGTATCCTGTTTCCATTTTCTCCCCATACCCATTGATCCCTTTAGCCCTAAGAAGGCTAACTCCTTCTTGAAAACATTCAAGGTTTTTACCTCATTTTCTGTGGCAGAGAATTTCACAGGCTCACCATTCTTGGAGTGAAGAAATTTCTCCTCATCTCAGTCCTAAATGGCCCATCCTGTGCTCTTAGACTACAACCCCTGGTTCTGGGCTTCTTGATCGTCAGCAACATCGTTCCTACGTTGACCCTGCCTAGACCATTTCAAGTTTTATAGATTTCTATGAGGCCCCCCTCAACCTTCTAAAGTCCAGTGAATATAGTCCTAACCAATTTTCGGCCCTGCCAGTCCAGGAGTCAGTCTGGTAAACCTTTGTTGCAAACCCTCCATTGCCAGATAAGACGATCTTATCCTGAGCTGAATAGAGACTGTGGAACTTTAAGGGTCGCAGATAAGGCTGTGTTTATTACAAATACCACCACTAGGTGGTGCAGTGACAACACACACAAACAGCTCGGCAGTGGAATAGCAGCTTCCTGGAATAAAGTTAGCACTGAGTCATAGAGATCTATAGCACAGCAAAAGACCCTTGAGCCCATCAAGTCTGCATCAATCAAAAATAAATACCTAATTATTCTAATCCTATTTTCCAGTTTAGACCAAGACAAAAACAGAAGTTGCTGGAAAAGCTCTTCAGGTCTGACAGCGTGTGAGGAAAAATCAGAGTTAATGTTTCGGGTCCAGTGACCCTTCCGCAGAATTGATGGTACCTTGGAAAACTGGTTTATTTGGAAAAAATAGGAAGGGGACTGGGGTAGGGAGTAAATGATGAGATAAAGGATAGAGCTCGAAGAGAGAGAAGAACAGTTGGATTGACAAAGGAGTTGACAACAATCTGGCTAGGAGGGTGAATATTTGTTCATGGAAACTGTTAGTGACTAACAATAGGTAATGTGTAATGGCAGGATATGTGATAATAAGACCTGGTGTGTGGGGTAGGGGAGCAGGATATAGGAGGATTTGGGACCTAAAATTATTGGACTCGAGTCCAGAGGGCTGCAGGGTCCATAAGCAGAAAATGAGGTGTTGTTCTTCCAGCTCTCGTTGATGTTCGCTGGAACACTGCAGCAAGCCTGAAACAGATTTTGGCTGGGGAACAGGGCGGTGTGTTAAAGTGGCAGGCAACAGGTAGCTCAGGGTCTTTTTTGCGAGCAGAATGTAGATGTTCTGCAAAGTGGTCACCCAGTCTACGCTTCGTTTCCCCAGTGTACAGGAGACCACATTGTGATCAGAGAATGCAGCAGACTAGATTCTGGGAAGCGCAGGTGAAGTGCTGCTTCACCTGGAAGGTATGTTTGGGCCCTTGGATACTGGGGAGGGAGGAGGTAAATGGGCAGGTGTTGCACCTTCGCTGGTTGCAGGGGAAGGTGCTGTGGGGGTGTTGGGGTGAAGGAAGAGTGGACCAGGGTGTCCCGGAGGGTGTCCTGCAGAAGGTGGACAAGGGAGGGGAGGGGAATATGTGTCTGGTAGTGGCATCTCGCTGGAGGTGGCAGAAATGGCATCTGATGATCTTCTGGATGTGGATGCTGGTGGGATGGTAGGTAAGGACAAGGGAATCCCTATCACTGTTGTGGGAGGGAAGACAGGGAGTGAGGGCAGAAGTGCAGGAAATGGGTCATACCCAGTTGAGGGCCCTGTCGACAACAGTGCTGGGGAATTGTAGGTTGAGGAAGAAGGTGGACAATTTGGAGTTCTGAAGAAGGGTCACCAGAGCCGAAATGTTAACTTTGATTTTTTCTTGACAGATGCTGCCAGTCTATGGGTAGGATTCTCACTTTGGGTATTGTGCAGTTTTGGCATGCAAGAGGTCCCAGGTTCGTCTCCCGGACGAGCCCAGGGTTATGGGCGGCACGGTGGCTCAGTGGTTAGCACTGCTGCCTCACAGCGCCAGGGCCCTGGGTTCAATTCCAGCCTCGGGTGACTGTCTGTATGGAGTTTGCACATTCTCCCAGTGTCTGCATGGGTTTCCTCCCACAATCCAAAGATGTGCAGGGTAGGTGGATTGGCCATTCTAAATTGCTCACAGTGCCCAGGGATGTTTAGGTTAGGGGGGTTAGACATGGGAAATCAGGGGTGGGATAATGGATCTGGCTGGGATGCTCTTCGGAGGGGCGGTGTGGACTTGTTGGGCCAAATGGCCTGTTTCCACACTGCAGGGATTCTATGATTTCTATGACCTGCTGAGATTTTCCATGCAACTTCTGTTGTTGTTCTACTATAAACCCACTGACTCCCACAGCTACTTGGACTATACATCTTCACACCCTACTTTCTGTAAAGACTCCATCCCATTCTCTCAGTTCCTCTGTCTCCGTCACATATGTTCAGATCAGGCCAACTTCGACAAGGGAGCCTCCGAAACGTCCACCTTCTTCCTCAACCAAAGATTCCCCATTTCCCGCACTTCCGCCCTCACCCCCTCTCTTCCCTCCTGAACAGCGATAGGGTTCCCCTTGTACTTAACTACCATCCCACCAGCATCCACATCCAGAAGATCATCAGATGCCATTTCTGCCACTACCAGACACATATTCCCCTCCCCTCTCTTGTCCGCCTTCCACAGGGACCATTCCCTCCGGGACACCATGGTCCACTCTTCCTTTACCCCCAACACCCCCACAGCACCTTCCCCTGCAACCGGCAAAGGTATAACACCTGTCCATTTACTTCCTCCCTCCCCAGTATCCAAGGGCCCAAACATACTTTCCAGGTGAAGCAGCACTTCACCTGCACCTCACAGAATTTAGTCTACTGCATTTGCTGCTTACAATGTGGTCTCCTCCACATTAGGGAAACAAAGCGTGGACTGAGTGACCACTTTGCAGAACATCTATGCTCTGCTTGCAAAAAGGACCCTGAACTTCCAGTTGCCTGCCACTTTAACACACCGCCCTGTTCCTTGGCCAACATCTGTCTCTGGCTTACTGCAGTGTTCCAGCAAAGCTCAACGCAAGCTGGAAGAACACCACCTCAATTTCTGCTTGGCGACCCTGCAGCCCTCTGGACTCAATAAGGAGTTCAATAATTTTAGGGCTTAAACACTCCTATGCCCTACCCCGCTACCCCATACACCAGGTCTTGTTATCACATAGCCTGCCATTACACTCTGCCTATTGTTAGTCAATAACAGTCCCCATTAACAGCTATTCACTCTCCGAGCCAGATTGTTATCAACTCCTTTGTCTGTCCAACTGCTCTTCTCAGAGATAGTAGGAACTGCTGATGATGGAGTCTGAGATAACAAGGTGTAGAGCTTCTTCAGAAGAAGGCTCCAGACCTGAAACGACAGCTTTCCTGCTCCTCTGATGCTGCCGGGCCTGCTGTGTTCATCCAGCTCTACACCTTGTTATCATCAACTCTCTTCTCTCTCTTTGGGCTCTATCCTTTATCCTATTGTTTACTTCCTACTCCAGTCCCCTCCCTATCTTCTGTACATAAACCAACATTTTCCCAGCTACCATCAGTTCTGAGGAAGGGTCACTGGACCCGAAACGTTAACTCTGATTTTTTTCTTCACAGATGCTGCCAGACCTGCAGAGCTTTTCCAGCAAATTCTGTTTTTGTTCCTGATTTACAGCATCCGCAGTTCTCTCAGTTTTTAGACCAAGACAGAGTCAAGATCACCTGCTTCAGCAATCGTTAAAAACGTGTTTTTAAATTCACTCATGGGAGGGTGAATGTCACTGGCTGGGCCAGCATTTATTGCCCATCCCTGGCTACCTTTGCAAAAATGATGGCAAGCTGCCTTTTTGAATTGCCCAATATGCCTTTGGGAAGTTCTAGAATTTCAACACAGCAACCCTGAAACAACGGTGATTTCATAGAATCGTAGAATCCCTACAGTGTGGAAACAGGCCCTTCAACCCAACAAGTCCACGCCGAACCCCAGAGCATCCCATCCAGACCCATCCCCCTATAACCCACCTAATCTACCCTCCCTGAACACTATGGGCAATTTAGCATGGTCGATCCACCTAACCTGCACATCTTTGGACTGTGGGAGGAAACCCACGCAGACACGGAGAGAATGTGCAAACTCCGCACAGACAGTTGCCCGAGGGTGGAATCGAACCCGGGTCCCTGGCACTGTGAGGCAGCAGTGCTAACCACTGTGCTGCTGTGCCGCCCCAAATTTATTTCCAATTCAGGAAAGCGAGTGGCTCTACAGTGGAACTTGCAGGTGGTGGTATTCATAAGTATCAATGCCCTTCTAGATGGGAGGGATTGTGGGTTTGGAAGCTGCTATCTAAGAGTTTTGGTGAACTTCTGCAGTGCATCTTGAGGATGGTACATATTGCTGCTGCTGCTGAGTGTCAGTGGTGGAGAGGACTGAATATTTGTGGATGTGGTTCCAATCAGTATGCTGCTTTCTCATGGATAATGAAAAGTTTCTTGAATGGGTTGTGTTTCAACACACATCTGCCTTGAGCTTTGAAGATGGTGGGCAGGCTTTGGGGATTCAGGAAGTGAGTTACTCACCGCAGAATTCCTAGCTTCTGATCTGCTGCTGTAGACAAACTTGTATGACTAGCCCATTTTAGGCTGTGGTCAATGGTAAACCCCAGATGGTGATAGAAGGGATTCAGTGATACCATTAAATGTTAAAGGGTGATGGTAAGATTCTCTTGTGGTGGAGAGGGTCATTGGCTGGAACTTGGATGGCATGAGTGTTGCTTGGCATTTCGATAGAAAATGTAGAATTTTGCAAGTGAAGCTTAGAAATCAGCGAGGGATATCCATAAAACCTTGGAGAAATATAGTGAGCTGTCTGTGCCATTGGATGTGGAAGCTTTTATTTAAAAATAGGCTGTCCAAGATATCCACATAGGCAAGCATATCCTGGAGAAGAAGGCTGTTTCACAGTAAAGTGATGATGCTCGCCCTGTCTGCAGCACGTGCTGATGGCCATTTTGGCAAAGATAAGGCATATGTCTTTGTTACTAGTAATTAGTCACTACAATCTCCAGCACTTTAAACACACTTACAGTCACTTATGTTGGATTGAAATCACTTAGCATTAACCAATCACGTCAACAACATTTTCAAAGTTGCTACTTGTAGTATATTAAATGCTTTGTTTTGGGGAAAACCACTATGATCACCCATAGTTTGCACCTCATTAAAGTACACTTACATCCAAGAGCAAACATAAGTAATATGATGATAACACTTTGTGAGAAAAGAGCACAGGCTGACATCTTTTACTTTGTTTCACTCTCCGCAACGCTGCAAGAGCATTTTCTTTTCTGGTTTCAGAATTCCCGCATCCACAGTTTGGCGTTAAGTTACCAAATAATGTTCTGTTATCTTTCGGGTTTTTAAGGCCTTCAAATCTCCCTTAAGTGACGTAGGAGATAGAGTCTATGTTTAGCAATGACTGAAGTTTAAGGAAAGCTGCAGGACAACATGCAACTAGAAACATCAATGACTTCAAACAGATCCTTTGGCACACCATGTCAATTCTGATCAACAAACACCAAACTACGTTAATCCCGTTTCCCTGCACTTGGTCCATAGCCTACTATTCCATAGGATTTTAAGTACTGATCCAGAAACTTCTTAAATGCTGCAAGAGTACTTGTCCATACTATCCTCTAAGACAACACGTTCCATATATCTACTATGCTCTGGATGAAAAAGTCTTCCTTTCATCTCCTCTAAAGCATTTACTCCTCATTTTAAATTTATTCCACTTCTGCCATGGGGAAAGAGGTTTTCACAATCTAATCTGACTACGCCTCTCACAATTTTGTACACCTCAATCAGATCCCCCCTCAGCCTCCTCTGCTCCAGGGAAAACAAACCCAGTCTATCTAGTCACTCCTCATAGCTGAGCCTTTCCATCCCAGGCTACATCCTGATGAATCTACTCTGCACCTTCTCCAGTGCAATCATGTCCTTCCAATAGTGTGGCGACCAGAATTACACACAGTATTCCATCTGCGGCCTAGCCAATGCATAATGAAGTTGTAACAAGGCTTCCTTCCCCCTAAAGTTTACACTACAGCTAATGAAGGCAACCATCCTATATGTCTTCTTCACTGCCCTGTCTACCTGTGCTGACACCTTCAGGGATCTAGCGACTGGTACACCAAGGTCCCTTTGTTCCTCAGTATTCCCCAAGACCCTACCAGACGTTGCGCATATCCTTCCCTTATTTGACCTTCCAGTATTTATCTCACACTTATCAGGATTAAATTCCATCTGCCACTACTCTGCCCAATTTACCAGCTGATTAATAGCAGACTGTAGCCTGAGAACATCCTTCTTGCTATTAACAACATCACCAATTTTTGTGTCATCATCTAAATCCAGCCAAGCCACATGAAATAAGAGGCGTCTCTCTGGTTATTGAAAATGAAGTTAGGGTGAAGACCTTAGGCCATCTCTCAGGGAATAGGAATTCAAAAGGCACATTTGACAGAATTGTTGAGGTCTGTCCCTAGCAGCTCTGTGACACAGGACTCTGTACTCTGTGCTCTGTGCAGGACACACACCGTGACAAACACTGACTATGCCTGGAGGACGATCAACTTGGTGAAAGACACTCTTTGGTCTGCCCGGAGTTGTTGGTCTTCCAGTGTAAAAAGTTGACCTCGACTGAGTGTTGCTGACAGGCACATTTCAAGGCCCAGGACTGCACGCAGAGGGACACACTAAGGCTTGATGCAGCTGCTGCCAAGGCACAATGGGGAAAGACCACCATCCAGTGGCAAAAGACCACTATCTTTTTGCTGAAGTATGTCAGAGGTTCATTTAGTTGTCAGAACCCCTGTATGTAAATATTTTTCCTGCACAAGTTAAAACTGCCTTTGGTTTTACAACTGCACGGTAGCTCTGTAGGATGTAGAATTCCAACGTGTCTTTTACAGAATTCCTCACAGTGCAGAAAGAGGCAATCTGCATTGACTCTCTGAACAGCATCCCAGCCCCCTACCCTATGTCCATCATCCTGCATTTACCACGGCTAATCCACCTAGCCTGCACATTTTTGGCTACTACAGGACAATTTAGCATGGCCAATCCACCTAATCTGCACATCTTTGGATTTGTGTTTGTGTCTAATTTTATTCTCCACAAAGACTGTACAGAATGGCTTGAGGACTATGTACTTGTAGATAATTTTTAAAATATATTTTTGCAATTAAAAATTTGAAAGAATTCCCACTTTAACTCAGCAACGTATTCTGTGGACTGCTGAGGGTAAATATTATAGGCCTAGTAAAATCAGGATAGCAGAGATGAATTTAAGGGGAATTCAGCCAAGAAGAAAATAACAGAAGCATATGTTGATTTGGAGAGATAAAGACGGTTGGAGGAGAGTCGTGTGTTGCATTAATACTGGCATGGAGCAGCTGGGCCAAATGTTCGGTTTTATGCAATAAATATGATGTAATTCTATGTAATTGTGGGGAAAGGGCAATGCAAAGAATGATTGGTCAGTGAGGTGGGAGGAGCGGATAGGTGGGAGAGAAGATGGACAGGTTGTGTCTAGTCAAGGAGGTGGGGATGAGAGGGAGGGTTGGTCATGAGATGAGGCTGGGGGTGGGGAGAGGGCACATTGGGAGCAGCGGATGCATGAGACCACATAGAGGTTCACCTGCACATCCATCAATGTAGTCTACTGCATCCAATGCTTCCGATGTGGCCTCTTCTACTTTGGTGAGACCAAATGGAGGCTCGGAGACTGCTCTGTAGAGTGCCTGCGCTCAGTTTGCAACAAACGACAACACCTTCCAGTCACAAACCATTTCAACTCCCCCTCCCACTCCCTGGGTGACATGTCCATCCTGGGCTTCCTCCAGTGTCACAATGACACCACCCACAAACTGGAGGACCAGCACCTCACATTCCGCCTCAGGAGCCTACAGCTCAATGGCCTAAACGTGGATTTTACCAGTTTCAAAATCTCCTAACCCTGGCCTGATCCCATGACCAACACTCCCTTTCATCCCCACCTCCTTGACCTGACACAACCTGTCCATCATCTCTCCTATCTATCTGCCCCTCCCATCTCACTGACCAAACCCCACCACTTCCTACCTGCACTCACCCCACCTACCTTCCCCAGCCCCACCCCTCCTCTCTCTATTTATTTTGGACCTCCCTTCCCCCTCCCCCAATTTCTGAACAAATGGTCCCGACCCAAAACGTCAACTTTCCTGCTCCTCTGATGCTGCCTGGCCTGCTGTGTTCCTCCAGGTTCACACTGTGTTATCTCTGACTCCAGCATCGGCAGTTCTTGCTATCTCTCAGTTGGGATAACTGCTTCACTTTGTGAAGAATCTCAAGAGGTGGCACCCATGAGTTAAAACAAGACTCGCATTTCTGTAGTCCCTTTCATATCCATTGGACTTCCCAAAGTGCTTTGCAGTCAAAGTAATATTTAAGTCTAACTGCAGTGGGGGGGAAGTGCAGCAAGTTCTCACAAACAGCAGTGCAATAATAACCAGATGATTTATTTTAATAATCTCATTTTAGGAATAGATATTAGCCAGGACACTGGAGAGAATTCCCACGATCGTGTTTGAAATAATACCATGAATTCTTCTTACATCCATCTGAGAAGGCACCTCATTTAAGAGTCAGCCCCTCTGACAGTACAGCACAAGCTCAGAGCTCTCTGGAGTCTCAGCCTGGATTATAAAAAGTTTTTGTTGCGGGACATAGTTCCATGATTTTTGGCTAAGGTGTGACAATGCTACCACAGCATCTCCATCTGTGTCAAATCTGGCTGTCGTTGCCCACTTGGTCAAGTATTTGATTCCAAGTGTCAAAACACTCTAGGTTGAAATGTTGCAACTAAATCATATACGCACCGTCTCAATCTTCTCCTCTGTTACTTCTGGCTTTGACACATCTGTGGCTGTTTTCAACTTCTTCCTTGCTCGATGTCTTTGCTGAAATAACAAAAAAAATCAAACATTGGAACAGGACATTAAAAATGAAGGGCAGAAGAGACAAAAAGCTTCATTCAAAAAAACATGATTCAGGTATGGATTCCAAGGGCACTCATCCTCTGGTCCTTTGCAAAAACACACATTCTTCACTCAATAGTGACTTTAGATAGGCTGTTCAATTGTATCAGCATCACAGGCCAATCAAGTCAATGTCCATCCCCATGCAATGCACCTACTGAGGGCACTGAAAGTGATCAGGAGTGACAGCCAAGAAAGATGGAACCATTCCACAATAAAGAGGTGTTTGAATGTGAAAATCTCTCACTTGAATTGTCAGAAAAAAGATTTGGCATTGGAGGCTACATAGCTATTACAGTGCAGCTCCCGCTAAAGCCTAATCTCATTGGAGCACATCTGCACACCAGCCATCCCACCAGTCTCATCATGGGCCTCCAGGGATTGGGTTGGCAAGCCCAACCTTGTTCGCCTCAGGACCCTTGTAGCCAGAGAAACCTTTCACCCTATTGATTTAGTTTACAAACCTGGACCCAGAGGCAAAAAGCCAGTGTTTATTCCTCTGTGCCATTCAAACTCAACCAAGTCAAGTTGTTGTTGAAGTAACAATGCCTTTGATGTTCTAAAGCATCCCAAGGTACTTCAAGGGAAAATTATCAAACAAAATTTGAGACTGAGTTACGTAAGGAGATATTAGGACAAATTATGAGGTAAGCGTCAAGGGAGGAGAGGCAGACAAATTTCCAGAATGAATCTGGGCAGCAGGCCACTAACGGTGAAGAAATGAAATTGAAGCTGTGCAAGAGGGCAGAACAACATCCGTACTGTACCTTCATAATCTCAGAGTAGCTGAAGACTGTGGGTACAGCGTTATGCTTCAGATTTTTTCGGTTGCCCCAAGTGTTGAAACACTCTGGTTTGAAATGCTCAGAGCAAATAACTGTATGTTGGTTAGGCTTGAACTCTGCTCTTCCGACATTGTTCATCCACTGCGTTAGTAAGTCCGGCTTACTGAAGGGAAACCTAAGTGACAGGGAAAGATCATCAAGGAAAGAAACAATACAATATTAAACAACAGGTTTTACCTTCTTCCAGCCACAAACTGGATTCTGGATTATCACTCTCTCCCTCCCACCATTTGTACCCTTAATTATCCCCGAGATTCTTTTTCTGCCCCCTCAACCATCAATCCAATTTATCCACTAACCCTGTCTCTATTTCACACTCCTATAAAAGACCTTGACATTTTGCGACTTCAAAGTCACGAGCTGTAGTTGTCCAAATTAACAGAATGTTATACAGCCACAGTATAAGATGTTAATTTTATAATTTTCTGGGGAAATTATTCATATAATTTGCTACCAACTCTCAGTTGTTTACAAGTTAATTTACTACACTGGTAGCTGCTCACCCTCAACGTTAATGTTCTACAATCCAAGCTGACTGGCCTCTGGAAAGTGGGCTATTGTCTTTGACGTGTTTTACACTTTTTTAAAACAATTAATTAATTATTTGTACAAAAATGACTGCACATTGTTAGGATCAAAACTAATTATGCTGATCCCTATCAACTACCTGTAACAGGTGAATTGCTCAATCTGTTGGTAGTTATAAGGTTAATTGTGTCCATTAATTCATTGAATCATAAACCACAAAAAGAGGCCATTGGGTCCACCATGGCTATTCCAGCATTTTGAAATGGTTATCCAATTAGTTACACTCCACTCCCTTGACCCTTGCAAGTTTCCTATCATCTAAAGTATACTGAACTTTATTTTCAAGCTTGCAACCGAACCTGCTTCCAAACCCCTTTTGATGCATGTATTCCAGAGTATAATAGCACTGGTTATAAAATTCAATCAGACAAGACAATTTCACTCATTGTATGTACAATGTCTGATTATTAACATCCAGGACCACTGGCTAATTTACCCTTGACTTGTGAGCTACTTCTTTCTGTAATGCCAACAGTGATTTATACCAGTATTTTCATACCTTAGTTGACTAATTATTTTTTAAAATGCCTGTATTTTGCCTTTATTCAGGATATCCATACACTTTGATTATTAATATTATTGGTTCAAAATTGCCTAATTTGCTGAGGACAATTGAATTACTTCTTCCTGATGTCTTAGTAGTTACACCATATTATTACAAATGGCTTTATACAAATTAAGACAATCAGACCATATGACATTGGAGCAGACATAGACCATTTGGCCCATCTAGACAGCTCCATCCTTCAATGAGATCATGGCTGACCTGGTAACCTTCAAAGTCACTTTCCTGCCACATTCTCATAACGTTGCATTCCCTTACTGATCAAAAATCTATCTTTGCTTTAAAATACTTAACACTCTGCCTCGATAGCCTTCCATGGCAAGGAATTCCACAAATACACTACCCTCAGACAGAAAATTAAATCCTTAAATGGGTGATCCCTAATTCCGAGATTTTGCCCTCTGGTCCTAGAACCTCCTACAAGGTGAAAATCTCTCTGCAATTACCCCGTCAAGACCCCTAAAATCGTATATGTTTCAATAAGTCTTTTTCTCAATCTTCTAAACTTCAATGAGTATGAGCCCAACTTCCTCAACATCTCCTCATAAGAAAATCCCTCCTGTGAAACCCCTAGAAGGCCCTTGAGGAATCACTAGCTATTCTTCCTGTGGAGCTGGTTGATTACGAGTATCCCTAGGGATGGGTTTGCAGAACTGTCTGTCCCAGGCTGGGACTAGTCTATCTATGCCATGAGTAGTGGCTCTATTCCAGTTGGGCTTCCGGAGATATTTCTTCGATGATGACAGTAAAGTTTCGGACAGCCTTGCCTTTCATCAAATGCGGTAAGGCTGTGACGGGAAAGTACTGAAAATGCCATTGTTTGGGAGACTGGAATCTTATGATATAGCTGTGGAGGATTGGCCCAGCACATTGAAAAAAATTATACTTTCATTCTCCGCAGTTCTTGTGGGACCCTGACTTTCCGCATCATAGAGTTTTACCTTCCCGGCAGTTCCCAGGTCAAAATCTTTTGATGAACTAATAAATATAGTAGGGGACCACTATGACCCCAAACCATCTGTAATAGTTCAGTGTTACAGATTTAACGCAGCAAATAGACTTCCTGGGGAACCAGTTACTGAATTTTTGACAAGACTGCAGAAATCAGTGGAACACTGAGTAGAGGTCAGCACTTCAAGAATGTTAAAGGATTGCTTAGTTTGTGCAATTAATAATATTGTGACCCAAAGGAAGATACTGATCAAACCAGATCTGGATTTCAAGAAAGCCACAGAACAGGCCCTTTCCTGTGAAAACACAGTAAAAAAGGGGCTCAGGAGTTTCAGGTGTCCATAGATGGTACTGTCCTCAACCTTGGGCAACCCCATATCAGACAGCATAGACCCCAGTGAACAAAACTTGCAGCTCTCATTTGTTGCCAAGGAAGTGCGATTGGACTCAGAAGCCACAAAGTTCCAGAACTGAATGGGGGGTTTCTCCACAATACAGTGAGGAGCAAGAACCTCCATATCGCACTTGTGTTCACTCCAGACAAAGTTACCAAAACAGGCAATACGTAGACCACACAGGCCAAAGGACAAAGCCACCTCAAGACAGGGATTTGCAAATAAATCAGCATGAGCTTGAAGAACTGATAACAGCTAAATTACATAATTGCTCCCAGTGTGGCCCCAATTAAGATAAAACTCCAGGTAAACTTCCACCACCTAGACATGGAGATAGACACAGGTGCCGCTGTACCTAATGTAAAGGGGAAAACCTTTAGGAAACTCAAATGGGGCATCTTGCCTTTAAGCCTGCAAGACACCAAAACTAGATTGGGCACATGCACTGGGGAGCCCTTACGTGTTATTGGTTTCAATTCCAAGGAGCACAACAGAATCAAAGCTTTTCCCTAGGTCTCAAAAATTACAGGTGGGGGGAGAAATGGTCCACCGAAGGAAGTTAGGTGATGGCTCTCCAGGGATCCCAGGAATTGGCTTTTTAGAAATAAAGGGATTGGTAATATACATGGTCAAAGCTGACAGAAGACCACATGAAAAAAAAAGACACCACGTCCACCACCTTCAGCAGGAACACTCCATACAGATGATTGTTTCGATAGTCACGCCGCTGAGGACGAGACCCCTGCAGTGGCTCGTTCGTCTTCACGAGGGAAATTTACCTCCTAATTGTACGCCCCCGATCAGACCCAGACAGCAACAGGCATGGTGTCGTGGGCAAAGCGACACAAGACGCCGCACTGTCACAGGTGCAAGGGGAACCTTTGGACTCAGAGGATGCCACCCATGGGAAATCACTAATTAACCTTCCCGTGGAGCTCAAAGAGCATGAATTCCCTTGTTAAAAGGGAATGGCCTGCCCAGCCAGAACTCATCACCTGAGCCCTCTACAAAACTCTGGTTCTCTTGTGGTGCAGTGGTAGTGTCCCTACCTCTGGACCAGGAGACCTGGGTTCAAGTCCCACCTGCTCCAGAGGTGTGTAGCACATCTCTGAACAGGATAATTAGAAAAAAAAATTAATCAGACCACCCACGACAGGGCTCTAATGGTGTAGTGTCAGTGTCCCTACCTCTGAACCAGCAGGTCAAGGTTCAAGTCCTATCTTCCCTAGATATGTGTAATAACACCACTGAGCACATGGATTAGGAAAATATATAAAACAGACCCACTGCAATGCCCATAATGGGCTTTGCAGGCAAGTTTCTAATTGGCCACACAGGTGATTTACTGGTGGCAGTTAATGGTTACAAAAAAAAGTTATAGTGATTTGGTGGTGGGAAAGCCGCTCAGTTGTGTGATAACACTTCCAGATATAATAAAGGGAAAAAAACAGACCCTAGGAGTGCTGTTGTTGTGCAGTGGTAATGTCCCTACCTCTGAACTAGGAGGCTTGGGTTCAAGTCCCACTTGCTTCAAATGGTGTAAGAACATCGCTGAACAGGTTCTTTAAAAATGTGTAAAACAGGCCCAGGGACGAAAAAAAAGACCCAGGAATGGTTTGCTGTATTCTGTCCCAGACTGGGATTAGTTTACATATGCCACGAGGTGTGACTCTATTTTGGTGTTCAACAATAAATGCTGTTCTACTCCAGTGGGCTTCCTGAGATATTTGTCGTTCATACCTGGAATCTACACAGTGAACCTTCTCTGGACCGCCTCCAATGTCAGTGCATGTTTCCTATGATAAGGGAATCAGAACTGTTCAAGCATTGCAGGTGTGGTCTGACTACTGCCTTGCAGTTTTAACAAGACCTCACTATTTTCATGCCCCAGTTCTTTTGTAAAAAGGCTAACAGTTCAATTGCCTTAACATAAAACAAAAAACTGTGGATGCTGGAAATTCAAAACAAAAACAGAAATTGCTGGAGAAACCCAGCAGTTCTGGCACCATCTATGGAGAGAAAGCAGAGTTAACATTTGGGGTCCAGTCACCCCTCTTCATTTGCCTTTCTTGTTACTCACTCAACTTGGATGCTAGTGTTTTGTGATTCATGCTCGAAGATCCGCAAATCCCTCAGACTGCAGAAAGCTGCAGTACATTTTCCAAAATATAATAACATTATTAACAAGGTGCAGGGCTGGATGAACACAGCAGGCCGAGCAGCATCACAGGAGCAGAAAGGCTGACATTTCGGGCCTAGACCCT